GGATGCCCAGAGTTCTGGCCCGCAGCTCCCGCAGAGGGGGCTCCCAGTGTCCCATTCATTATTTCCTCTCCCTCGGTGGGGCGTCTCGGCCTTCTTTTGCCAACACCCAAAGGCAGCAGCAGATCAGCTTCTGCAGCAAGGCAGCCCCAAGCTCTCTGTACAAGACAATCCACAGCTTGGATTTCCGCGGCAATTGCTGGGTTTTTGGTTTGTTTGTTTTTTTGCACAATGCCTTTCCCCTTCCTATTTCTAAAATCGAAGCTTTGTCCCCCACCTCTGTCACACATGCATGTAGGCTTGTGGAGCAGGAGGAAAGGGGGTGAACAACGAGAAACGGGTTATATAGGACCTGCAAGTACCGTATTTTTCGCTCTATAATACGCACCAGACCATAAGATGCACCTAGTTTTTGGAGGAGAAAAAAAATATTCTGAATCTCAGAAGCCAGAACAGCCAGAGGGATCGCTGCGCAGTGAAAGCAGCAATCCCTCTTGCTGTTCTGGCTTCTGGGATAGCTGCGCAGCCTGCATTTGCGCCATAAGAGGCACAGACATTTCCCCTTACTTTTTAGGAGGGAAAAAGCGAGTCTTATAGAGCAAAAAATACAGTAGTCTTATAGAGCAAAAAATACAGCAAAAAATACAGGGGGAGACAAGAAGCAGCATGCAAAGTGCTGAAGCCCTCCTGTATGCCTACTGCCCACAACCCAAGCCCTGACTCTGCCGCCCATGCATGAGGACTGGAAACTTGCATTTGCCAAAGTGAACGCCAGGATTTTGAGGCCTGTGTGGATCCTTGGCGCAGGCACCCTAAGACCTGGTGAAATGCAGACTGCCCGGATTTCAACGTTGTTTAAATTAACCCTTTTAACCCAGGAGGTCCAGAATTCTCCCCATCCCCACAAACCTCCGCACCGAAGCCACCTTTCCGCCCCATCTCCCCTCCAGGAGATTTTACAGCCTTGCCTAGTTGGCAGCTCTGAGCCATAAAGCGCCCGGGAGTGCGAAAACATCGCAGCACCTGCCCCCATTCCTCTCTCCTACTGAAGGCGTTAGCAACACTTGGATGCCTCGCCCTGTCAATCAAGCAGCTCTGAATTCACCCTGAAGTGAAAGCAGATGCTTTGGTGTGATTGCTGCCCCAGGAAACCAAGTCTTGAAGCTGGAGGGAACCGGCGTGATTCAGAACCCGAGGGTGTTCTTGGGACAAAAGGCCGCGGAGAGGAAGGCCTCTCAGCCTTTGGATCGCGTGACTAAAGAAACTCCCAGAGACTTGGGCTAAGAGGAGATCCAATTTGTTCCAGAGAACCCAGGCGTCCTGACATCTTTTTGACCCTCGAAAAGAATTCAGATAGCTTCTACCTACTAAGTCAGTGACTTTGGAGAACCATTTTCCCTCCGGAGGGTTGCTTTCCTCTGTCTGTGTGTGTGTGTGTGTGTGTTGTGTGTGTGTTGTGTGTGTGTGGCAGGTAGGCTACTATTAGGTGAAGCCCAGGCTGATGACGGGTGGAGCCACAGCTGATGATGAGCACAGACAAAAGTGTTCTGGATTAACTAATCCACAATAAAAACAGCTCAGCTACTCTTCTGGAAAGCCAGTGAAAGTAATTCCTTTCTTAACTTTGATCTGCAACATACACAAACATAGATATATGGCAGAAACCTACTAATCCGTTGTCAGACAGCTGGGGTGGAGAGCTTCTTTTCCCCAAGCCATACAACAAGGGTTTTGTGTGTGTGGTTGTTGCTCTTTATTGTCTTGTTTCATCACATAAAATACTGCCTCTTCCAAATGTTCCCAACGGAGGGAACAGGAAGGAAGGAATTCAGAGAGAAAAATGGAGGCTACAGGTTGACTGCCTGGGATTTAAGGAGGGCTTTTCCCCCCAGCTGGAACTCACTGGAACTCAGTGTCGGCACTACAAGGGAGGCATTCATGATGAGTTCGGTCACCTCTTTTGCTAGAAAAATAGAGCTGACTTTAAGCTATGAGGTTGGGCACCCAGGAACCTAAGCCACTAGGCTGGGTAATTCACAGGTGCCAACTCTTAGGAGCTGAGCTCCCATCAGCCCCCCCAAAGTATTTAAGGGGCAAGCCCCCCCCAAAGTTGATGGGCATTGCCATTCAAATGCTGTGTGCACCCCACGTCTTGTGATTGATTATGTGGGGCTCCCAATATTTTATTCAAGTTGACATCCCTGCTACTATGACCACTCAGAGCAAATTAACCCACAAGCCATTGGGGCTGTGTAGACTTTTACGGGGACACAGGTGGCGCTGTGGTCTAAACCACAGAGCCTAGGGCTTGCCGATCAGAAGTTGGCGGTTTGAATACCCGTGACGGGGTGAGCTCCTGTTGCTCAGTTCCAGCTCCTGCCAACCTAGCAGTTCGAAAGCATGTCAAAGTGCAAGTAGATAAATAGGTACTGCTCCAACGGGAAGGTAAACGGCGTTTCTGTGCACTGCTCTGGTTCGCCAGAAGCAGCTTAGTTATGCTGGCCACTTGACCCAGAAGTTGTACGCCGGCTCCCTTGGCCAGTAAAGCGAGATGAGCGCCGCAACCCCAGAGTCGTCCGCGACTGGAACTAACGGTCAGGGGTCCCTTTACCTTTACCTAGACTTTTAACAGCTGAAAGCACAACTCGATTGCTTGCTTCCCCCTCCATTTCTATCAAAGCTGCTTTGGTGGAAAACACATCAAAAGGCAGTATTTCGTAAGAAACAGCAGGACAGAAACCGGATAGATACAGAGCGTGGCTAACACCATGTGTACTATTAGGACTGCCACATTTCCCCAGACATTTCAGCGACTTCCACCCGGACACTGTTTCTGACTGCCATATTCCGGCTATGTCCAGGAAATTCCAGAAGTATTGACAGCTCTATGTACTACGCTTCCCAAACCAGTGGTGGGAGGGCACTGGATGCCGGGTAAACAGGACTGCGTACACAGCCTGGTTCTCTGCTGATGTATCAGGATCCAGTCTTCCATCCCAGCTTGACCTAAACTAGATTGCAACAGCAGCACTGCCCCCTAACAAAGATATGGTAAAACAAGAACAATAACAAGAAGAATGTATGTTTGGGCTAAATGTGGTGCTGGGGCCTGACATACTGAAGACTAGGCCTTAGTCAGAAAAAAATCATAACGAGTCATAATACTCAGTTCCCACCCTGGTGGGACCTACTCCTGGGGAACCCCTTTTAGGATAAGGTAATTTTCAGACTATTATTATTATTATTATTATTATTATTATTATTATTATTTATATACTGCCCTATACCCGGGGGTCTCAGGGAGGTTCACAAAATAAAATCAAGATATAAAACCACAAGATACATAATAAAAATAAAAACAACAAACCAATAGCCCCCCCCAAAAAAAAGGCATGGGATCAACCAAAGGCCTGGTTAAAAAGGAACATTTTTGCCTGGCGCCTAAAGGTGTGTAATGAAGGTGCCAGGTGAACTTCCCTAGGGAGAGCATTCCATGTGTTTATTCCCTATGAGCATCTATTTTCTCAGACAACTCGCTGATTCTACCAGCTATTATGATATACAAGAAAATGAGTCTACAAAGCTACAAGTCCTCCTGTGCATCTCTGCATGGGAGAGATGTGCAAACTCTTGTACGACATCTGCTCTAACTCCTGTCCTATTCACAGAAGCTTAGGTCTTGGCTGTGTAACTCTGGGAAACAGGATGGAGGGTAGAGGAAACTTTAGGCTCAAAGGCACAAGATGCAGCCACCTTGCTGAAGCTAAGCAGGGCTGGGCCAGGTCAGTACCTGGGTGGGAGACTGCCTGAAAATGCCTGGGATGGAAGCGTAATGCAAAATAACCAAGCCGGCACCTGTAATTCTTGCCTCTACGGTCCAAGAGTAAATCTTAGTTAAATGGAATAAGAAACCACTACCTTGCTGAAGCTAAGCAGGTCTGGGTCTGGTCTGTGCCTGGATGGGAGACAGCCCTGGACTTACATGTATGTCATGGGATCCGCGATGGGAGAATTGTTAGAAAATAACCAAATAGTGCAATGATATCTGGAGATCGAGGAGCCGGCTGGTATGTTCTTCATCATTCCTCTTGCCCACCTTGTTCGGGAGCAGCAGTCAAACTGTATTTGATTGCACCAGGAACCCGCCTCATCCCAGGTAAGCCCTGGATGGAGATTGCTGAGATCCGAACACGCTGGCCTTTAACCCCTCTCCCAAGGCTAGCAATCTGGGTGGTTCCTTCCTAGGGGGATTTCTGCTTTTCAAAGGTCAAGATTCTAATCCACCTTTCCTGGGTTCTGCGACTCTGGGAGGAAAGGGGCGAGTGTGTGTGTGTGTGTGTGTGTGTGTTTGTGTAAGGGGTGACCCTGGCTTCCCTGTGCGTTGCATCACCCTCTTTTCCAGGGAACCCAGGCGTCCTGCTTTCCATCACCAGCAGGTAATCCAAACCAGGCGGGTGAAGGGGCGAACATGCAAGGGATATTTCCGCCTTTCCGTTCGTTCGTCTTCCCTCCAGCTGGTTTCCATCTAGCCCAACTCGTAGGCAAATATGTGAGCGTGTGTGTGTGTGTGTAAGGTGGCATATTTCCCTTGACCATGAACTTGTCCTCCCCTCCCCCTTTACCTGGGTGGGATGGACGGGCAGCAAAGTGGGGGCCAAAAACCCCTGAAGGGCTTCAGAGGTGCCCGGACTCCTGGGTTCTTTCAGAGGGGGGTGAGGTCTAATGTTGAGTGGGTTGTGTGTGAGAGAGGGGGGGGAGAGTTAGGGCAATCCTGGATGCCTGGGTTCTCTGGAGTAACAGTCCATTGAGCTAGCATGCTGGAATCCCGGACGCCTGGGTCCTAGGCAGAAAGGTGCGTGCGTGTTGTGCTGGGAGGGGGAGGGCTGGAATCTCGGGTTCTTTGGGAGGGAATGGGATCTTGAAGCTGGATTCCCCCAGTTTAGGAAGCTGGCTTCCTTACGAGTAACCAAGGCTAGCTCTCTCTCGCCCACTTGCCTCCTTACCTTTACGGCGCCCTCGCTGCGCCCCGGGCCATCGTCCTCCTGCCCCTTGGCATCGGGGGTGAGGGGGGCACCCCTCCTCCTCTCCCAGCCAGACGGGCGCCTTCAGGTTTCCACACGCCCAAGGGGAGCCGCTGACCGTCGGGATCCCATTCCCCGCTTTGCTGTTCAAGCGAGCGCAAAGGCTGCTGGAGACGACTTGGAGGTTGGAAGGGGGGGGGGTTGGAGAGAGGGAGAGGGAGGCTCCTCCGCTCCCCAAATGGGGGGAGAAGGGGACGGGACGGCGCGGAGAGCAGGGAAAGACCCAGGTGGAGGAGGACCGGAGGAACTGGTTTGGAGGTGCCGGAGAAGGAAGGAAGGAAGGAAGGAAAGAAAGAAAGAAAGAAAGTGAAGATCGGCAGAAGGAGGGAGCGGAGTGTTGGAATCTCGACGGAGGGGAGACCGTCGAGGCTGCGCTGCGCTCTTCTTCCCGCTTCTGGAGGCTTCCCTCCTCCCTGCAGCTTGCCCGGTCTTGCCCTCCCCGACGCCCGCCTCTCCCGCCGCGCTCACTCTCCGAAAGGGCCCGCCAGGCGCCCGTCGAGGCGCAGACGTGAGCTGGCCCCGCGCATGCCCGCCTTCCGAGACGGCGTCTTTCACCGCGGACTAGGCTCCCGCCCAGAGGGTTTCCTCGAACTCCCGGCGCCAGGGCTGAGCGGGGGGGGGGGGGGAGGAAGTCCGAGGAGAGACCCCCCTCTCGGGGACCCCGTCGAGGCATCTAAGCTAATGTCCTCCTTCATCTTTCGTCGCCACGTCGGGGCTCGGCTTTCCGAGAGAGAGCCCGTGCAATCTGCAAGAGGAGGATGGCGAAGGAAGGAGAGATTAAAACCCAGCCTGGGAGATCGCCGTCGGTTAGAGCACCATGGTGCTGAAAACGCCAAGGTTGCAGGTTCGATCCCCACGTGGGACCGCTGCAGGTTAAGTTGGGTCCTTTCCAACGCTACAATTATGTGGTCCAGAAGACGAGCTGAGCCAGCAACAGCTTCGACGACCAGAAAGGGCATTTCCCACAGTGACACCCAAACCCTGATTTGGGAATGCCAGCACGGTGTTGATAGCAGTTAAGGTTTCGGATTCGGAGCCTGAGGACCGAGGTCCGAATCCCCACTCAGCCATGGGTTTGGGCCGGCCGCTTGCTCTCATCCTGACCTACCTCACAGGGTTGTTGTGAGGACGATATGGGGAGGAGGAGAATGACGTATGCCGTCTCGAGCTCCTTTTGGGGGTACAAATGTAAATGAATACAGTGAAGCCTGCAATGCTGGTCGTTTGCACCCCCCCCCAGGGACGGCTGTGGGCAGGATTCCTGCAGGGGGTTGGACTAGATGACCCTCAGGTACCTTCCAACTCTACAATTCTATGAATCTATGATTCTGTGGCTTTGAATATAATGTGCAACCTGGGCAGCGGCTGCTTCCTCGCAACCAAATCTAAGAAAGGAAGGATAAGGAAGACGAACTGGTTTATTACGATGTGGGCTTTTGTGGGCCAGAATTGACTTCATCAGATGTGTGGAGCGATATGTACTCAGTTAGGAAAGAGAGTTTGTGCCCATGTGCCCCTGAAATATACAGGGCACAATTGGTGCCAGTTCTGCGTAAAGCTTACATGTTCTGTGAGTACCTTGTATGCATTCAGGCTTCGCATTAGAACTGACGCAGCCTGTGTCTTGTGCATTTCAGGGCCATGTGACCTCCGCAGTTGACAGTGTTTGCCTCTGTACCCAAGTGTGCGCAGCACATAGCTAGGGACACACTTTATGCCAGGGCTGTGTAACCTGTGGCTTTCCAGGTTTTGCTGGACGGCAGCTGCCATCATCTCCGATCATCGGCCATGCTGGCTGGAGCTGATGGGAGTTTGGCCACAAGTTCCTGCACCCTCAGGCTTAATGTATCTGAGGCAGAATGGCCGGTCCTACCATTGGGGTGAGACAGCCGCCTCAGGCAGCTAGCTGATTTTGGGTGCCTATGAAAGGGCTGCAAAAAAAATTTACAGTGCAATCCTAGGCAGAAACAAGTGTCGCTGAGTTCAATTAGACCTACTTCCAGATGAGTGTGTACTGTATAGGTTTGCAGCCTGAATTTATTATTGTTTCATTTGTACTCCCAGGGAGAGGTGTGGTTTCCTGCCACAGGGGTCAACATAACTTGGCCACCCAGGGGTATTATGCAATATTGCTAGGGGACAGTGCAGTGTGAGGGTGGGGGAAATTGGGCAGAGAGATTGCCACCCTGCCAAGTACAGCAAAATGTCTCTGATCAGTCCTGTTAGAAGGGACTGTGGTTCTTGAAATTTTATGTCCTAGTCTAGCTCTCTCCAGTCCTCATTTTTCCAATCTGAAATTCAGTTCTTTTTTTTTTTTGCAGCACTTAAAAGGGTAAAGGGACCCCTGACCATTAGGTCCAGTTGTGGCCAACTCTGGGGTTGCGCCGCTCATCTCGCTTTATTGGCCGAGGGAGCCGGCGTACAGCTTCCGGGTCATGTGGCCAGCAGCAGGACTCTGGCGAACCAGAGCAGCGCACGGAAACGCCGTTTACCTTCCCGCCAGAGTGGTACCTATTTATCTACTTGCACTTTGACGTGCTTTTGAACTGCTAGGTGGGCAGGAGCAGGGACCGAACAACGGGAGCTCCCTCCTTGAGGGGATTTGAACCGCCGACCTTCTGATTGGCAAGTCCTAGGCTCAGTGGTTTAACCCACAGTGCCACCCCTCCCCAGAAGTTTTCATGCCACTCTCTTTTCATAAACACATTTTCGTATGCCGTCTTCATTCAATATATTCATTTCCACGCACACTTTCCTCCAGCTTATTCATTTTTGTAAATGTCGGCTGGTCAGAGAACTGCATCACAAAATGCAGACGAGTGCAAATTTTTGAAGGATGGTGGTGTTTCGGTCTTCAAATTATTTCAGAAAGTGTGAATTGGATCGATTCGGCGTCAAATACAGACGGAATCGAAATTGTCCTCCATTCCTTTGTAGGGAGTAAGGCTGCAATCCTAAACCCACAGACCTGGGAAGCAAATCCCACTGGATTCAATAGGTACTTCTGCGTAGGCATGGCTAGCATCCTTAAGTCATCAGATAATAAAGATAACAATATCTGAGCGTACCAGAGCAATTCTAAGCATATTTTATTCAGAAGCTTTGCTGTGTTCAATGAGATTTGACTCCTGCAATAAGGGTGTTTAGGTTTGTAGCCTATATCTATTAGTCTTAAGTGCCAGAAGACTGTGCGTTTGATGTAACAGTTCAAACATGGCTACCCCTCTGGAATTTGAGACCTAAAGAAGTTTCTCAGCTTCTGTAATGTGAAATTTACACAAGCTGCCATGTGCATTTGATTTGAACGTTGGCTTTCTTTTCTCACTTCCATTAAAAACATTCAAGGTAGTGAAAAAGCACTCACACAGAAGGGGTGGGAACTGGGGACAGCGGCCTCGCTGCAAATCAGGTGACAGCAAAGTGATCATCCCAGGGCTGGCCCTATCATTGGACAGAATGAGGCCATTGCCTCAGGCGGCTGATTTGGAGTATCACAAAAAGGCATCATTAACATATTTTTTTTCTTTCCTTTTTTCGTAAAGGGCATTTAATTTGTTCTGATTGTCCCTGGTGGGACTTTGTTCTACCTTCGGCAGCCAAAATCTCTGGATCGTTCGTAAAATATGTCACACTTTTAATCTTCCTCATCACACTTTGCTCTCATTTTAACCAATGTGCTATCCTGCCTGGGTCATAATTGCATGATTTATGGATTGCCCTTGCTGTGGAACCATCTGCGAAGAGCCATCTTCAATCATTTATAGCCTGATATAAGAAATCGACCCACTGTCTTGCAATTATTGACACCTGCATCTTCACCTCCTCCCACCCACAGCATTGCAATTCATTCATGGTAATGCCCTATCTTTTCTCCAAAGAGTTCAAAGTTCTACTCCTCCCCCTCATCACATTTTATTCTCACAACAGCCCCGTGCAGTAGACTTGACAGATAATTATTGACCCGGTTATTTTCATGGCTGAGTGGGTCTCCCCTGCCCTAACCACTATACCACACTGTCTCTCAACTTAAAACCACCCTCCTCTTTGATTTACAACTTCTTGGAAGTCACCCAGAGCTGCCACCCTCATTTCTAGCTCTGCCCCAAGACCTGCTAGTCACCTAGCAAAATTGTGATAGAGGCACAATTTGATAACAGGACTTCTTGGCGCTTCCGAATGACCTGTTTATTGAGCATTCATCCTGATTCATTTGCAGGGAGATTAGATGATGTTTTGCGTCGCTGTTACCTGCGTTGAACCATAGGTGGAGTGTTCCGGAAGGCCTGCAGATGCCATCTTGGTAGCCAAGGTAACCCCAAAACTAATTGGCAGCTGCTGCAGGAATGAACTCATATACGTCCGTATTCATTTGCTTTGATATGTGCTAATTGGCGTGCTTTGATGCTTTGCTTATCTGTGCACCTTGGGGTGCTATGCTTTTGGCCCAGAGAAGGGAGCTATCTGTAACCTTTGTATAGTTGCCTCATGGGCGAGGTGGACTGATGAGAGGTTCTGGCCAAGCTGGCGTAAGATGCTTTTTGTATATGTAATTAATACGCATTTGCATACCCTCCAAGTGTCCATATTTTCCAGGGACAGTCCCGGATTTACACAGACTGTCCTGGTTTCTGATATTATCCAGGAATGTCCCGGTTTTCCTTAGGACAGAGGTGCCCAATTTTTTTTCAAAAAGAGCCAGATTTGATGAAGTGAACATGAGTGAGGGCCCACCAAAGATGTTGACCTTTTTTTTAGGATTGAAGTTGTTGAGCTGCTACGGGGGCCAGATTAAACCAACCGGCAGGCCGGATAAGGCCCCCAAAAGGGTCTTTGGACATGCCTGCGTTAGGGCATCCCTATTTTCACCTGAGAAATTATTTTGGAGGATATAGAGTTAGGCAACTTCTGAGCCAAGGAGATGAGTAACTGTACAGCCTTTAGAAGACATCTGAAGGCAGCTCTGTATAGGGAAGTTTTTAAATGTTCAATATATGTTTTTTTAATATGTTGGAAGCCACTCAGAGTGGCTGGGGCAACCCAGTCAGATGGCCGGGGTATTGTTATTATTTTATTAGTATTATTAACATGCAACAGGACATCCCTAGGGGGACGCGGGTGGCACTGTGGGTTAAACCACAGAGCCTAGGACTTGCCAATCAGAAGGTCGGCGGTTTGAATCCCCGCGACGGGGTGAGCTCCCGTTGCTTGGTCCCTGCTCCTGCCAACCTAGCAGTTTGAAACCCTGTCAAAGTGCAAGTAGATAAATAGGTACCGCTCCAGCGGGAAGGTAAACGGCGTTTCCGTGCGCTGCTCTGGTTCGCCAGAAGTGGCTTGGTCATGCTGGCCACATGACCCGGAAGCTGTATGCCGGCTCCCTCTGCCAATAGAGCGAGATGAGCGCCGCAACCCCAGAGTCGGCCACAACTGGACCTAATGGTCAAGGGTCCCTTTACCCTTTACCTAGGACATCCCTATTTTCATTGGAGAAATGTTGGAGGATGTGCATTTGCCTAGGTGACGACCTCTCGTTGTGGTGGTGTCCATCGTGCATCTGTAAAGGCTGTGGGGCTCTGCAGGCTGT